TGGAGACATCTATATTTTACCTTTATAGTTTATTTATCTATAGTCTTCAGGGTTAATAGAAAAATTCCCAGACTTTGTGATATCATATAGTCTTGGTCCAAAGTTTTGTTTTTATGTATCTAACAAGTTCTCAAATACTTTTCTCATCCTTATCATTTATGAAATAGTTGGCAAATTTCTGTTCTTTGACTGTCATAATTTACTCTCCCCTATTATTTCATTAGTTAACCTCAGATCAACTGAATTATTTCTACCAATTTCATAGAAAAAATTAAACATTTAATCTATATACATTCATCATGTCATAGGCAAAATGTGTTTAAATTTTCGGGTATTAGTATATATAAGCACCATATCTACTCTACAAAACAGGGATTTATCAGACATACTTGTTTACTTTCTGAAAGTTGTTTCTATTTATAATTTTTTACTGTGAGGTGTATCTTTACAATCCTTACATTACAAAAACAGTGAATAAATGATTGAAAATAAATATCATATGCATAACTTCAAGTGACATAAAAAAAGAATTGCTTTTTTAATTTATTTTTTTATCAGTATGAATGTATTTGCCCATGTGTGTTTGAGTGCACCATGTCCTGCAACACCGTGGAGGTCAGAAGAGGGATTGGATTCCCCTGGATAGTTATTAGCCACCACGTGGATCCTCTCCAAGAGCAGTCAATGCTTTTAACCACTGGGCCATCTCTCCATCCCAAGAACTGCTTCTTTTCTTGAGAAAAATGTATTTTGAACATTGCTAAAACTTACTTTTCCATTCACGAAACGTCTATCCCAACGGTAACTTGACATGACTCGTGTGAAACCATACGGGTGAGCCAGCATGAATCCAACAGCAATTTTATACATTCTGAAAGACAAAAAATGATATTACAGGAAACAAAAAAGAGTAATTTTTGCTGTGATAAATGGCCAGTTGCAAACAGCAAAAAAAAAACTTTATTTTTCCTACCTAGCATCCCAGAATGTCAGAATGGATGCTCCTCCAGCCCCATGTCCTCTCTGGTTATCATGGTTATCCACAAAGACAAGGGCTCTGTCGGTAGGCACCATACCCCAACCTTCTCCCCAGTTCCTATTTAAAAAATGCATTCATTATTTTTTTTACAATGATTTAGAGTAATTTAAATCTGCCACTCTGCATATTGCATCA